GTGCATTAGAATAGAATAGAATAGAATAGAATAAATCTTTATTATCCCACCAATGGGAAATTTCGATGTTACAGAGCTCTTACAGCAAGGGAAAATAAAATATAAAAGGAAGACACAGGGTGGTCCTAATATATATAATATGAGAGATTTATAATCATTATTATGTTTATTAGAAGTTTTACAGCCGTCGGTTTTACATCATATCCGCCTTTTCATTTTCCCGGAAGGGAACCAAAATAACAGCAGGGGAGTTGGATCTCACCACATGCATCAGCTGGTAGTTCAGCTTATATCTATAGCTGAGGTTTAATCTTCGGGTCATAGGATGTCTTTTCCCTCGTCGTTTCCTGCGCAGGTCGCAGCCATCATGGACGTCTTGGCGAAGGCGGCGGTGGCAGAAATCACGAAGCTGGTGGAAGACGGGAGTCTGGTCCTGCGCCTGGAGCTGAGTCGGAGGGAAGATGAGAATCAGGAGCTCCGAGCAAGTTTGAAGCTGATAGAGGCTGAGCTCAAGAAAGCTCAAGAAGCTGCCGCTAGCACAGCTACAGAAGCCAAACATACGCAGACTACAGCCGAGGAACTGGTGCTCCGAACGGGTAAGAAACGGCAACATCTGGAACCGACCAAACGAACCTTACTCAAAAAAATCTCAAATTTTAACTTCCTTTGCTTATAAAAAGGTTTACTGCACATTAGAACATAAATGATCATCCCTGTCATGTTGTGATGGTTCAAGTTTAGGTTCGGCTGAAGTATGAATCATTAGTAAGTGAAATGTATTCATAAAGCACACTGAAACGTTGCTTTGATTAATGGAGGACCACAAGAGCCACACGCATCAAAACAAAGAATTCTGTGCTTAAATAATGAATTCTGCATTTGTAAATTCATTTTTGAAATACTTGTATTTGTTCAAACATTATTAAATAATACATTACTTCAGTAGTTTATTTTAAATAAAAACACTATTTTAAAATCTAGTTTTCAAAATTAATTAGTAATCCATCAATAAATACTTCAAACTAAAAATGAATTTCACAAAAAAAGAATTAAACTCTCAATAAAAACCTCATTTCAAAAACTATTTTCGAATTCCAAATTAAAAAAAATAATTTTCAAAATCTTTTTTTTAAACTCAATATGAAAAAATAGAAATAAGTAAATGGTTTCAAAAATCCACGATTTACTTCTGACATTTAAAATGGTGATTCCACTCCTCATTTGAAAATCCATTTCAAATGGAAAGAGTAAAGGGAAGTTAAAGTCCAGACTTAAAAGCACAGATGGAGGATGCCCTGCTTATGTCAAGCAGTAAGTCTAAGGAGAAAGCTACTGGACTTTTTTTTTGCGCCTGTCCTGTTTGGTTCTTTTGAGATCAGAATTATTGTCTAAAAGGCCAAGAAAGTTGTCCAAAGGATTTACTTTACCAAATGGACCATCCCGGCCCTGCCGTATTGGTCTATTTGATTCACTTTGTTTTTAGTGTTTATTTTATTTTATTTTCACTTGCTACACATGGGACAGACGTCACTGGGGAAATGAAAGGGGAGAAAGAGAGGTAGGGAAAGAAAAACAGTGGGGAAGAGAAACTGTGATAAAGGGCAAAAAACAAAAACCAACAAAACAAACAGACAAAAAATACATATATCAATGACCTGGATCACCTGTTGAGAAAGAAAAATAGAGAAAACAAGCAAAAAAAGAGAGCAATAGAATAAACAACATCACGATGATCTATGTGAATATAACAGTAAATACTAAATATTAAACATTATTGTGCAGCACGTAGGATCGACAGCACACAGTGTGCTTTGAGGTAGGAGCCAAAAAGGGTGTAGTTTGTGTGTGTGAGCACCCGTGTGTACACCTGTGAGCGTGAGCGCGCTTGTATTTAAAAGGTCCCTTTTAAAGGTCCCTGCTAGAGGGTGTGAGGGGCCATAGCCTCGTCCTCCAGGGCATGAAGCAGGTATGGAGGAGATTCAGGCTCCAGAGACCCTCAGAGCACAAGAGACTAAGGAAGACCAACAGAGGGGCAGCCGTGCCACTCTCCCGGAAAGAGCTGAGGAGAGCCCCAGATGAGGGGTCACTCAGCAGCCGCGGAGCAGAAGCCAGGGGGAGTTGCAGTGACGTGCCCGTGAGCTCCGCCGGCAGCCAGCTGTGCCAGAGTGACCGAGCCCCAAGCCCAGAGGCCGAGCGAGCCCCAGGCTCCAGGCCCCGACAAGCAGCCACCAGGAGTGAGCCGGTGCGTACCTGGACGCCCATCCCCGGACACAAAGAACCACCAATGCAGCAGCAGGGAGGCCCCACATTCCATTTCTTTTTGTTTCATTTAGACCTTTCACCCCTCATCCAAGGGGCTTCTTCACTTCCTCATGACATGAGCCAAGGTCATTACCTCCAGATGTTTTAGGTGAAACCACGTTGAGACCTTGCCTAACCCTATCATCTGACCCACTGAGGTCATCTGATGTGAGGTTAAGGCTCAAGAGTGCATTAGAATAGAATAGAATAGAATAGAATAGAATAAATCTTTATTATCCCACCAATGGGAAATTTCGATGTTACAGAGCTCTTACAGCAAGGGAAAATAAAATATAAAAGGAAGACACAGGGTGGTCCTATAAACATAAACAACCGAAATTTGTATGTACAGGTATAGGTTATAGGTGACTGAATCCTTTACCAACAATTTATTTTAGTCTTTGTAGTTCATTTCTAAAGATAGTTAAATATAAATTTCTGTACACTGTCTTTCTAACTGCTGGGATATTTTTTTATTATGTCTTGGTCCAATTCGATGAATCAAAGAAATTCATTTTCTTTGACATTCATTTCATTTTCAGATTAAACTGACTATCTTTTTTAGCAATATATCAGTCAGATAAAACTCAAGAACTTATGAAGATAAAAACAGTTTATTGCAGTATATCAGGGACTTTCTAAACTTTGTAAAACCTGAGTTTATCAGGAAGCATCCTTTTGTGACTGACATGTCTAACCGTTTCCAGTAAACAGCAGCACTAAAACACTTCTACTGGTGAAACTGGTTAGATGCTCTGTTGACTTGCATTTGTTGGTTGAGAATTGAAATCGAGTGTTAACACGGTTGTCATTCTTTTGAATGCAGACAAAAAGGAAGCTCAGGACATGGTTGCAGTGTCTCTTCAACCAAAAACTGCCCAAAATGTGACAGAAGAGAGCCAAAACATCTGGCCAGTGGTGAAGCACGAGCCAGAGGATGAACCTGCTAACATCGAAACAGAAGACAACACGGCGAGAACAGGTGTTTGCTTCAAGGCAGAGCAGGATGACTTGATGTGGCCTGCTTGTAGCATGTTTGAGAGTAACCCTGTGGCGTTGCAGCAGCACATGCAGATCCTCCCCTCTGACGCTGATCAGTATTCTCCTCAGAGCAACACAGAAAGTTCCTATAATTCTTTACTGTCTACCACAGAGGAAACTGCAGGCGCGCCAGTGAGAGCGGAGGTAGAGACGCACCCCGCGTGTATGGGAGGCATCGCTTTAGAGTCTGTTCATAATAAAGAGTTCAGATGTATTTCACCCCCTGCAGGCAGTCAGGGTGACTGCTTGCGAGCTGAGCCGTTACTCCCTCTGCCTCACGTGGAAACAGCCGCAGCAATCTCAGCAAGTTCAAATGCTGACGCTCCTAACCAGAGTAGAGATGTCTTTAAAGCCAAAAGGGTGATGAAGGTGTGCAGACCTAATCAGAAAGTCTACGTCTGCTCTTTGTGCAACAAGAGTTTCTCGTGCCTGTTTCAATTGGAGAAACACGTAGCCACCCACCAACCCTCCAAACGCTTCAGGTGCCTCGAGTGTGGGAAATCTTTCACCCAGAAGACCCGGCTGAGGACGCACCAAAGCGTGCACACCGGGGAGAGGCCGTTTAGTTGCAAAATCTGCGGTAAGATGTTTTCGAGGCAGGACAACTGCCTCAGACACGAGCGGTTCCACAGCGGGCTGGAGCCGTACAGCTGCAGGCAGTGCGGTAAAAGCTTCACGGCGCTTGGTAACCTCAAAATACATGAAGAGATCCACCTGCAAGGAAGATAGCGATCAGATACTGCAGCTCTCAGAGATGGACTGCGGTAGTTTGAACATTTGCATGAACCTTTTATTTTACAAGTGTGCTTTGACAGTTTTATTGGAGTGAATGAACAGAAACATAAAAAGCCCTCTGATTTGCATTACAGGGGGGCAGATGCATGAGAGTCATTACATTTATCGTTTGCTTTGTCTTGCTTTTCCATTGGACGCACACCTCTTTGTGAGATATTACACATAAAACTAATATAATTTGACATTTTGTCCCATTAATGTGACAAATTTCATCTCCTGGGAAATCTAAACATAAAAAACATTGTAACTATTATTTTTGAAAAAAGTTTCTATGTCTTTTTTTCCTAATGGCATGATCACAATTAACCTAAAAAAAGAAGCACTGCTCTGGAGATTATTTACTTTTAAGGGAATATTATTGTGTTTTTGAAAAAAACAAACATAGTAGTGGGTAATATGTATTGATGGGTAACAGATTGATTTGTAAATAACTGGACATGAATAATTTGAGTTTATTATCTAATTTTTCTGACTAGGCAGCTCATTCTCTTTTTCACGACCATATGTGATGTAGATGTGAAATGTAAAAGTGAGGTCAGAGGTATAATTAGATATTTAGAATCCCCCACAGCAGTAACAATTCCTAAATGTTGCAAAAAACAAAGGCAGCAGACTTTTAATCAGTTTTAAAGATTAAAGACATTTTATGAAAGTTTGACCTTATTTGACCACAACCACCACAACCTACACAGACAGAATAAATTAAATAAAACAGAAACTAAAAAATAACCACTAACTGATAAATAAAGGCATTCTGGTGCACAGTTTAACTTCCATAAATGTCAACTATTGATTGATTCTCATGCTGCGAGTAGGAACTACTAGAGAGGTGGGGAAGATTTTCTTTTTCTGTGTTCTCATATAAATATTAGATGGCCTTTAAATGCAGTCTGAGTAGCAAAAAATTCTCTCAGGCATTGAAACTGCAAGAGCGTGGTGACGTGTGAAGGGCTCAGAGGAATATATTTGGTCTTTGTTTTCAGTTTCCCCAAACATACCACCAGCAGACTGTGTAGTGTAGATGTTCCTGTCGTGTCAGGGGCTTCCTGGAGGGTGCCTGCACTCATTTCTCTGAGAACGGCTTCTGTGGTTAACTCCAACAACTTATATGAACCAGCACTCTTTAGATGGCACATTGAACTGAAAAGATTAGTAAGAAATGGTCTGTTTATTGATGTTAACCGTGATGCTGATTATGCTCCCACGTGGATGCGCACATGGACAGCTGTGGTCACCGGGGTGTGTCGTTGTTTTATACTACTTTTAAGTCCACGTGCAGGGAGGACATTGCACTGTAGTTGCAGTGCACATGGATGCCTGATGATACCCTGCAGGTCCCTTTCAAATTCACAGATGTGGAAACATTTTTTTTTTCCATAAGCCATTTGTGTGTTACTGTTTAATATACATTTCTGTGTTTGGGACATTTTTATGCAGTTTTAGATTCTTGTTCAAGAAAATGTTTCATTTGGAAGTTTTAGCCACCTTATTTCTTCTTAATTTTTAATTCTTCAATGACTGTACAAATACTCAAAGAAAACTGTGATTGGTGTGTTTGTAACTTTGTCATACTTCTGTACTCAGAAGTATTACAGTGCCTTGAAAATATACTGGTATCTGTTGTTGAAACATGTCTGAAGAAATTAAATGGTTGGTCCTTTTCTAATATTTGCCTTTGTGATGTAGTTATTAGCAGGACAAACTGTATGTGACTGAAGATTACTTGTCAGATCTTAATTACACACATTTAATCAAAAAGTAAAAACTTTTAAGTGCGCGAGAGATTATGATTGTGTGTGTGTGTATTCATTGTCTTTTGTGGGGTTTTTTCCCAACAGTTTAATAAAGTGCAGACAACACAACAATGAGTTAATTGCATTTTTTTGAATTGAAAGTGCATTTTTCATTTAAAGCTTCAACTCTGGGTTTCAAATGGTTTGATACATTTGTATAACTGCTCAAATATCTAATCAGATGACAGTAGTTCAATCCATTTAGGCCTTTAGACATGGTCAGCAGGATCGGTTCAAATCAAGCATTAGCATGGGGAAGAAATGTGATTTACGCGACTTTGAACGCAGCATGGTTGTTGGTGTTAGATAGGCTAATCTGAGTAGTTCAGAAACTGCTCATCTACTGATATTTTCGTCGATCTCACGGCCCATTGTTAGTCAGTGGTGCTAGATTCAGTCATGCAAATATACTATTTATAAGGTTGGGGAAACCTGCGGTCAGCAGAGAATGAAGACGTCACTTTGCCTTTCTGTCTCCAACCTGAGCTGTCTCTCTGATATATTCATTTCTAATCGTCTCCATTCTGGTCACTCGAAACAAAAATTTAAAAATCTTCAACTGAATATGTACACGTCCTGCACATATAAATTTTACTCTCAGGTGTTCCTAAAACTTAGCAGCTCTCCATTGTGTTGGTGCACAGAACTGGAGGGAATTTAAAATAATCCCTGACTCTGGTTACAACACTTTTAGATGAACATACTGTAATTAATCCAGATTCAAACGTTATGAAAGTGTATGATTTCTTTTGTCGTGTTGCACTTTATAGACGGTCCCTGCAACCTCCTCTCACAGCTGCTGTGTGTGTTGTATTGATGTGATTGGAAACTTCTCATGAGTAAATGCTTGAAGAGTAAAGCGATATGGTCCCTTTAAGATAAAACCTGGAAATAGCATGTTTTCTCTAGATTCTCGTAAACTTCCTACTTTAGTCTTTTGAAGACCTTTTTTTAAAGGTCCAGCAGCCCCAGAAGTGCGTTGCGCTCTTCTCAGCGTTTTTACGGTATGTGTGTCATCACTTCCGTAAAACGAGAAAGTGTTTATCTCTTTGTACTCATTAAAAACCAACATCAGGCTAACCAAATGCCTGCAGGCTGGGAAGAGCCAGCGGCTCCCGCATCGGCCCGCTTCGCTTAGACGCAGCCGTTAACTCACCTCCCTGACGTGGGACCCACCGAGCCGCTTCTCTGGCTTTAAAGTTCAGCCCTCCTTCACTCCTTGGTCGGTTCACGATAATGTTGAGCAGCGTTGCTCTGCGCTCCCAGATCGCCTCCGTGATTGATGCCTTGTCCAAAGCAGCCGTGGCAGAAATCGCCAAAGTTGTGGAGGATGGCATGGTGGTGCTGCGGCTGGAAATGTGCCAGCGTGAAAACGAGATCAAGAAGCTGAAGAGCAACATCGAGCTCCTGCACGGCGAGCTGAGAGTAACCCAGCAGGCGGTGACCCTGAGACCCGACCACCACGGGAGAGATGGTGAGCTGGACCCGAGCTAAACCACACCTCAACACCCTGTAGCTGCCGTGCTAACCTGGCACCTCTTTGCTGAGGGGTGCCAACTTACTGGTACACTGATGCAAGGTTTGTCAGGGACGAAAATGCACAAATCTCAGTTTTCAAACTTTTATAAAAGGGTTGTGTAAAGGTAGAGAAATACTTTATTAAATTCTAGAGAAAAAAATAATAATTTAAGAACAAATGTTTGTGTTGCCACGTTGTGAAAAATCCCCCAGCACAAGGCTTTGGCTTTTATTTGCTCTGCAATAATATGGGAAATCGTTCCAGTGGTCATTTTGGATCATTTATCTTTTGGCTGCAGGACATGAGGACCAAAATAGGTCTTTTTAATGAGCTGGCGTGTTTGCAGTTATATAGTATAAAGAAAAGAATGTAAGCATTACAAAATTGTTTCTCTTCTTTGCGATAAGATATTAGCAGAAGTTACTTAGAAATAGATTTTTGTCCAGATGCCATGTGGACCTTTTCTGGGGACAGATATGAAACACACAAATCTATTTTCTCACTTTGTTGTAGATCTTTGAGTGATTCGTTTCATTTTGAAGAACATTTGGTACAAATATTTGGTTTGTTTCATGAGTCTCTCCCGCCTGCTCACATAGGTCAGAATAAACAGTATTACTTACACGGGCATGAGTTCAGTGCACCAGTTGTGCTTACTGTATTTATTGCTTAACTGCCATTAAAAACAAGAAAGAACATATTTTAGAAATCTGTCAAAAACAAGTTTAAAACAAAAAATGACTGAGTTCACATTTGATTACTCACACTGGAGCTGGCACACTGGACTCCTTTGAGAAGTCGGAAATTAATCAAACAGTTAACCAGTACAATTAATATTATTTTTTGTTTGTGAATGCAAGTAAATAACAGTAATTTGTCATCTTACTTTAAAAATGTAATAGTATTGTCTGTTTGTTGTTTTTTTTTGTTTTTTTGTAAAATCAAATTTAAAAGTTATTGGATGTCAACAATAGTTATATTAAAAGTATCACTTCAATAAAAGAGCTTGTGGATATGGTGGGTTAACCATTACAGATTGGTTTTGGTAATTACTGTTAATTTAGGGCAGCTGTGGCATAAATCTTATATTGGATGGTCGTCTAAAAATGTATTAAGCGCTGTAGCTTTCCAAAATGTACAAGAAGTCGAGATAGTGGTGCTTTTACATATTACTAATATTCACATATTTAGTGAGCTGTACAGCTCATGGATTTGTGGCATAGGAGATAAAGCAGGTTGTCCGCTAATTGCAGGGCGGGTGGTTGAATCCTTGGCTCCTCCAATGAATCCATCAGAGTGAGGGATGGTTTGAAAGCTCTGAGTCAATGGGCAATATTAAACAAATATGTAGGGCTGCTGTCTTGCATTTGCGCAGTATCTCTAAAATTAGAAACATCCAGTCTCAGAGTGATGCTGAAAAACTAGTTCATGCATTTATTACTTCTAGGCTGGGCTATTGTAATTCATTATTATCAGGCTGTCCTAAAAACTCAGTTAATCCAAAAGGCTGCAGTGAGAGTACTGACAGGGACTAGAAAAAGAGAGTGTGTTCCTCTCACACTGGCCTCTCTTTGTTGGCTTCCTGTTAAATCCAGAATCTAATTTTACAATAATTCTCCTCACGTACAACATCGGTTCAGTTCAATTTGATTTATATAGTGCAAAACACAACAACAGTCAAAGGTGCTTTATATTGTAAGATAAAGACACTAATCAAACAACCTGCTTTGAGCGAGCACTTGGCGACAGTGGAAAGGAAAAACTCCCTTTTAAAGAGGAAAAAACCTCCAGCAGAATGTCCTCAGGGAAGGTCGGCCATCTGCCAGGACCAGCAGGGGTTGTCTGAATAATCAGGCCCTGTCTATCTTAAAGACCCCAATAGAGCAATTGTCTCTCGGATTCCTGGCTTACTTGTGATTCCTAGGATGTTTAAAAGTAAAATTGGAAGCATCCTCTGAGGAACTAGCTCTTATTTTTAAGATTACATTTCAACTTTTCCTTTATGGTAAACCGTAGAGTTAGGGCTGGATCAGTTAACCCCAAATCCTCCCTTAGTTATACTACAATAGGCCAAAGTTGAGTATTTGTTCTTCATCCATCCATCCATCCTCATCCGCTTTATCCGAGGCCAGGTCGCGGGGGCAGCAGCCTAAGCAAAGAGGCCCAGACCTCCCTCTCCCCAGCCACCTCCTCCAGCTTATCCGGGGGAACACCAAGGCGTTCCCAGGCCAGCCGAGAGATATAATCTCTCCTGCGTGTCCTGGGTCTGCCCCGGGGCCTCCTCCCGGTGGGACATGCCTGGAACACCTCACCCAGGAGGCGCCCAGGGGGCATCCTTGTCAGATGCCCGAACCACCTTAGCTGGCTCCTTTCGATGTGGAGCAGCAGCTGCACTACTCTGAGCCCCTCCCGGATGGCCGAACTTCTCACCCTATCTCTAAGGGAGAGGCCAGCCACCCTTCGGAGGAAGCTCATTTCTGCCGCTTGTATCCGCGATCTCGTTCTTTCGGTCACTACCCACAGCTCGTGGCCATAGGTGAGGGTAGGGATGTAGATCGACCGGTAAATTGAGAGCTTCGCTTTTACACTCAGCTCCCTCTTCACCACGACGGACCGGTGCAGCGTCTGCATTACTGCAGCTGCAGCCCCAATCTGTCTGTCGATCTCCGGCTCCCTTCTCCCATCACTCGCGAACAAGACCCCGAGATACTTGAACTCCTCCACTTGGGGCAGGAACTCATCCCCGACCCGGAGTGGGCACTCCACCCTTTTCCGGCTGAGAACCATGGCCTCAGATTTGGAGGTGCTGATCCTCATTCCCGCTGCTTCACACTCGGCTGCGAACTGTTCCAGTGCGAGCTGGAGGCCCTCACCCGATGAAGCCAACAGAAGTATTTGTTCTTCACTCACCTATTTTCACTCACTATGTGTGGTTATGGGAGACTGCCCCGCCCCACCGAGCCTGTTTCTACCAGAAATTCTTCCTTACAGGGGATCATTTCATTGTTTGGATTTTCTGTCAATTGCTGTAGATTCTTTACCTTACAATATCAAGCGCCTTGAGGCGACTGTTGTTGTGATTTGGTACATAAATAGAATTAAATGAGGTTTGTAGTAAAAAGCATGTTTAATGCTCGTTTAGAGTATGAAAGCACTATGTAAGTACCTGCCAAATTTAGGTAGTGAAACACGATCATTAGAGGATTGATTAGATTCTTGAACAAAATCCGAAAGGGCATATTTACATTTACTCCAAGATCTCATCAGTTACACGTCATTCACAAGAATAACTTCTGGTTTGTTGAGGCAGCTCACATAACACTTTTAGCTCTGCTATTTATGAGGTCCAAAATAAATCTGTGCACCTTGTGAAAAGTTTTAAACTCACGCATGGTGCATAGTGTTTGGAGATATTGCCATGTAACAGTTTTGCAAGTTTTACCAAGGACCTGATTTCAAAACTTGAATAATGTGAAACTAAAGTGGTGCGTGCAGAGTCCATACTCTGCCACGACCAATGTCCTGTTTTTCAAACTTTTAGAACGTAATAACAGACCAAAGTTTAACAAGTTCTTCCTTTGCCACTGCTTCACCTCTCCATTAAACTTCATGAAATGCAGATCAAAAGTTGTGTAAACACAAAATCAGATGAACAAATGGCATTCAACTAATGTCTATCTTGACTCTCATCTTGGGGAAGAATTAAAGTTACAACTCTTTAATGTATGTTATTGGTTTGTTTCTGTCATTTTACATATCTCACCATCATCCTGGGGAAATTACTTCCTCCGGCTTCTAATTGTTTTGGAATTAAGTTAGTGATGGTTTAATTCAGTTATAACATGCATGTTTATCTTTCTGCAGAAAGCCAGGGTGGTGCTGGTGATGTGAAGAACTCTCTTGAAAATGTGCATGCTGATGATGGACCCGCCACTCTGTCTGTACCTGAAGTGAAGGTCAAATGTGAACCTGTGGAGGAGGAAAATCAACAGGCCAGCAGACAGTCCGACAAACCAGGAGAAGAGCTGCCTCTGTATGAAAGTGGACAGTGGAGATCGACGACACAAAATGAGACTGGACATAACAGCTCTCATTATTTACGTTTAGGACAGAACTCCCTGTCGTGTCTTCCCGAATCGTCTTTGGACAGTGGGCTGGTCGTGTCCTGCAGCAGCTCTGGTGGATTTCAGCAGAACCACTTTGGTCGTGGGTTACTGGGTTATAGTCTGTACCGCAATGCGTACAACACGGCACGGAGGAGGACGGTAAAGAGGCTGATGTTTAAGAAAGGCTTTATCTGTCCGTACTGCGGCAAATGTTTCGAGCGCGCGGGGCATCTCGAGCGGCATAAAAGGATTCACACTGGTGAGAAGCCATACCGCTGCGAGATATGTGGGAGGCGGTTCAATCAGAAATGCAGCCTCAAGGAGCACACAAAGATTCACAGAAGATGTAAGTAAAATGCTTCCTACTATGAGGTTTTTGGTTTGTAGCTTTAAGTTGGATTGTAACCAGCTCTCATCAGTGAAACACTTGGTCAGTTAAAGCTTGTGGAAATGAAGGCAGTGTTCATCTTCAATGCTTTCAAGCACTCAACAACTGAACAAGCAAACTATTCTGAGGGTGCAAGTATAGACACATGACTCCTTTCTTTTTTTGCTGATATATGCCTATGCTCCTATGAGCAAGCTATTGCAGTATTAAAAAAAAAGGGAGGGTTCAGCAGCCCCAACTATATGCTTCATCAAAGAGGAAATATTTAAGAAGAGAAGAAGAGGGGCCTGAAAGCTGAAGGATCTGCCTCCTATTCTACTTTTTAATCCCTAAGAACCAGAAACGTGCTCTGTTGGGGAGATATCGTATTATAAGGTCTTTAAGATTATATTGGGCCTGATTCTTCAAGACCTTGCATGTGAGAAGAGTATGTATAATGTTAAATGGTGATTATGAGACAGAGTTTTTCAGCTATTTTACAGAGTAACATGAAAGTATTGTAAGTAGGATAACAAATAACTTTTTCCTGAGAGTAATGAGGTAATGTTTTAGGAAAGCCTGTAAATGAATTACTATAGTTGAGCATAGAAGTTTTTCAGCATCACTTTGAGACAGGGTGTTTCTAATTTTAGAGATATTTCTTGAATGCAGGAACACAGTCCAATCATGATAGGTGTCGTAGATAAATAAATACTAAAAATTGATCATTTTAGCCTATTGCTAGGTGGTTCCTAAGCAACAGGACATGCCCGAATAAGTCTTTGTGGATCTAAATGAGATGTTATTGTGAACTTAAAACTTTTAAAAGGTGTTATAGGTGCATAGATGATAATAATTGATCATTTATACCTACCTAACTATTGTTTGGTGGTTGCTAGGCAACATGATGGCATGATATACTTGATAGAGAGATAAACTTTGTTCATGCTGAAAGCACTTTGCTTGTTGCACTTTGCTGTGAAGCTGACAGCTGCTCACCTGCTAACATTCCAGGTTCTGGTTGCCTTGGTAACTCTCTAAGATTGTATGCCAGTCAACACAACAGTTTCCTGTACTCTCATTGGTCCTGTACTCTCATTGGTCCCGTACTCTCATGTTGGAGTCCTGCCCCACTCATAGTCACTTGAAGTCACCAAATGTCATTCATGTTTTCTCCTCACTTTTATCTTCCATGTTGCTTCCATCTTTAGATGTACCTGTCCTCCACGTTTGGTTGCTCAACTCACGATTGTTTAAGCATAGTTGGAGACAAAGAAACAAACAGATTTTGTATAAGAACAATATGTCGACCAATTAGCTTTTCAGAAGCGACCAAAATGGTTAGTGCAGAAAGCTCGTTTAGATGATTTGAGACACAAAGACAAACCCAAAAGCTTCTTATTATAGTTTTTCAGGAGCATCAACCACAGTCACAAACTCTGTCCTAGGCAACGGCTCTGTCAGATTAATTGTTCTGAAGAACTACAAACTGATTGACAGCTCTCCCTACTGGTGGCAGGTTTGGCAAAACAAAAAAGAAATAAATATGACCCTTACATTTAGCGCCATATTTATCATAAAGGTTTGAGCTATTTTCACACAGGAACTTCATACAACGCTAAAAGGGAACCTGTCACAAAATGGTTCGAAGCTGCCTGTTCTCACTTCTAACGCAACAGGAAATCTGCTTCAGAAGGTTTCTTACTAGCAGAAGTACTGTTGATTTTTAGGTGATAATGCCATTCAGGTATGGGACCAAAACTTACTCGAGTGTGACTTCACGTTGACAGATGAAAGACCGTTTGTCTACATCCTCGCATGCAGCTCGTTTTGTACAAAGACTAAAAAGGTTCAGGGTGAAAGCAGCCCCGGACCCAGTTAAGCTGCTCCTCTGCTTTTCTAACAGTCTGAACATGAGCAGAGAAAAAGTTGTGAAAACATCTGTCGTACATGCTCAAATATTTCAGTAACTGCACAATCATTGTCGCTCTCAGAAGGGCCAAAAGACTTTGTGTTACACTTGGCAGTTTTGAGGTCTCCAGTAGTTTGGAGGTACATGTAAATCAGGGTGTTGCTGCATAATGGTGTGTGCACTCAGGCAGTATCCTCCTCTGTTACCGTACTGAAGGAGGTCAGGACCGGTGGCTGTTTGGTTGGTGGGGAATTACTGCATTGCTCAACGATTCTTCAGCAGGGCAGGATTAGGGAGGTTCACGGATTTGTGGAGGATCAAACTTGGATGCCTGGGGTCATTGGCTCTCTGCCAGCGTACAGTATTATAGATTTTACTTATAAGAATGAATGAAAGATTAAAGACACATTTAAAATTATATGTAATTTATATGAAACATATAGAAGCAGTAATTTTATCTTTTAATTTGAAGGTTCATGTCACTCACATGACACGTTAGTAGCTAGTTGTACGCTGTGGTGTGTTATTTTTATCTTCTGTCTCTGAGTCTTGGTTCACAGTTTGAAGTCAGTAAGCACAGGAAAAATTATGTGGGTTAGGTGTGACGACAGTGAGTGAGTGGAGGGGAAGGTGACTTAAAAGGGTCTCAGTGAACAGCAGAGTCCCCCCTTCTTGCCTTGTAGAGCCAATTTCTAGCTTTGTGCTACCCAGAGCAAGACCACCGGGCTCTGTACAAGATCCACCGGATATTAGTTACCGAGGTTGAAACCCAGTTCATGCATGTAACGTGACACTATTGAGATGTTCAGTGCCCTTCGAACCTTTAGGCAATTAACCAATTTTCAGCTTATTTTCTGCTGATCTTAGCAGAGCATAGCAAGCAACACTGAGGACAAAAATGACCCTCTGTGTTTGCAGGCAGATGAAACAATAAATCATTTCAGGGGTTCCCTCAAAGTATTTAGCATAGTTGGTAAGCCACCATAACTTTGTGTTCGAGTGTGGCGTCAAATCCAAACCGTTTCCAGATGTCTTCATAGACGACATCATGATTATTGTCAAGCAGGGGTCGCGAGTTTCCTTCCCTGCGGGTGTTTAAAGGAAAGAATTTCTAAAGCTTAAACTGCTTATGTTTTAAACAGCTTAAAGCTTTAACTGCTGATGGTAAAGAAGCAGGAGCATTATTTTCCATACCAACTGATCACTTTTGGTCTCAATTGTTGTTGTTATTATTAACAATAAAAAAGGAGTTTTTTGACATTTAACTTAGGGGTGAGCAGAATATTCCTTTCACCCAATAAATAAACAAATTCAAAATGATAAATTTTAATTGCAGTTTCTACACTCAGTTGCTCTGTGGCTGCCAGTGGGGCTCGCTCTGCAGTTTTATACCATTTATGTAGTGTGAGGTTGAAACCTGCTAACCCCGTGAATATACCAAACATGGCTGCACGTTCTGGCTCTGAAGCCTCTGGAGCTAATTGCACCCACTCAAAATGATGATTACAGTTCCACCAGATGTGCTGCTGTGTGATTCAGAAGCATTGTAGGAGTGACTTGAGGTGTCTCAGTGCTGCTTAAAATGGAGCTGGGTCTATTTTTGATGAAGACGCCTCAAGTTGCACAGAGCAGATTAGGGAGGCGAGAATCTGGTCAGTTTTCAATATCAACGAACCCCCACCCACAAGACTAAACACTTCATTTCTGGTGTGAACTGACACTCTGAGAAGCGCTGAACAAAAAACTGGAGGTCACAAAACTCCACAGACATACACCTGACTCAAGTTTGAGAACATGTACCAGTTTAATCTTTGGTTTTGTTTGGGTTTTTTTTTTTTTTTTTGCGCCTCAATAATGACTAAAATGACTTTTGAATAATGAAATTTGCTTATTTTTGATGAACTTATCCATTAATTAAATAACTGGAACACTACAATAGACTTCATAGCAGACCTTAGTCCAACCACCAGAACTGAAGAAGCTTCTCGGATGAGAGGTGAAACGTCTTCAAGCAACTTAAAGAAGTCCAGACGCTTTTCTTTCCAAGCTCCTTAGACCACCATTTTCATCCACACCTCTGAAATTGCAGCGATAGTGAGCTGAGTGTTTTCAGGCGTCATTTTCCCAGCAATGTTTTCTCCAGTTCCTCCTGGAGGTCCTGAGGTGTCCACAGGCCAAATTCTGGCCAAAAACATCTGTGTCATTTATATTCAGTCTGGACAGGAAACCTATATTTAATATTAATTTTTCCACATTCTTGGAGGGTCTTTAAGTGTGCTTTAAATGAAATCTAGTCTTTAATTCAGATGAGGCTGGCACCATTAAAAAAAATATTTCCTCCACTTAGTGTTTCCAATTAACCTATTCCCACTAACTGCATGTCTTTGGACTGTGGGAGGAAGCCGGAGAACCCACGCAAACACAGGGAGAATATGCAAACTCCACATAGAAAGACCCTGGCCTGATGGTGGAATTGAACTCAGGACCTTCTTGCTGTGAGGCAACAGTGCTAACCACGGTGTCACCCGATTTAAATCATATTTTAAAACAAATTAGTTATAGTTAAAAGCAATTTGGCATAAAGCCCACCACTGAAAATGCTGAAACAATGCACTCAAAAAAATATCTTTGGATGAACACAATTTAATCATGGCACCTTTTTCCACGTGATTTAACCAAGTACAGTAACCCATTTTAGACCATGTCAAACCAACACATTTGGCATCTGGTGGTTTTATGCAATCAGATTACGTTGGATCACCATAGCATACTTGCATTGACTTGAAGTGATTGATTTCAGTATGTAGAGTGAAATTTGTTTTAATTCATTCTACACAAGTTAAAAACTTTAGGAAAACACAATGAAATCTTGTTGTTGGAACAACTACTTTGTTAATCAAGGCAATTACTGCTAGTCGTGCTTAATGAACCAATATAGGGGTTGATGATTTCATAGAAACAAACAACCATTTGCACTTACATTCATGGGTAATTTAGTATCACCAATTTCCTAGCAAAACTAGGAAAGCTATGATTACAAAGCTTGATGCAGAATTTTCTGCACTGTTTTGTCCCTGACAGGTTAAACCACAATAAATGGCGATAGCATACACGTGGTGTGGGTGTAGTTGTCTGCCTCTTAAAACTCCAGCGATTTCCCTGCAGTTTGACATCTAATGTGATCTTGTGAATGTCGTGAGTCCAGGCAACGAACCACTCTTACTAGATTGTATCATGTCATCTTAACAAGAACAAATTAAGTTGCTGAATTTCATGCAGATGCTACATGATTTAATTACGTTCACCATAGAAACATGAAATTATTTAGTTCAAATTACAAGCTTGAATCTTGCACATGTAACAACCACCCAATTTCATTTGTTTGAGTGTGGGGAAGGTACTGACTGGAACTTGGAGCAGTGGCACTGATGATTTGACAGAAGGGTCGTAGTTGGTTTGTGGAGGTCTTGGGGAGATGGTGGACTGACTGACTTGTAAATTGTAAATGGTCTGGCACTTTAATATAGTGCTTCTCTAGTCTACTTAAGAACTCAGTGTGGTTTCTTGTTACAAGCCTCATTCACCTATTCGCATATATTCATGCAAGAGCCCTTTTTTTTTTTTTTTTTTTTTTTTTTTTTGTCTAAGCACCTTTTTACCCAACATTGAATCAACTGGGTCAAATATCTATGGATACTTTGACAACTGGATTGGAGGAGTAGTGATTGAATATAAGACGATCCATCCTGAAACCAGAATAAACTCGTCAATGTTTAAAAGGTGAATTACCTTATTTTTCCTCCTCTCTCTGCTTAAACAGGTATTCAGTCAGGACCTGTTGAGATCCAAGTGGCTGAGCAGAAACTGATTCCTGAGGTGAATCCACCTATTGATGCGCATCGCCCTGAAGAAGCGATCGTTGAAGATGCTCTACCTAAGAGTGAGGACATTCTGCCAACACCTGTACAGGTTAAATCTGAGCCTGCAGAGAAGACTATCACACCACCACCGCTCTTTCACGGGGGAAACGAGCAGACAAGAGAAGGAGTTGAAACCCTCGGCGACACCTTCGCAGCGTTTGAGAGAGACAGCCAGCAGTGGATGCCCAGACTACAAAACAACCCTGAGATGGGCAGTACAGAATTTCTTAGCAGCTCGGAGCAAAACATGCCATCGTTCCCCGGGATGGCTCAGTTACTCTCTCCACCAGCTGAAGCTTCTTGTAGCACCTTCTCTTTCCCAGGAAAACCGTACGGCGAACTCAAAAACAGCATGATCTCCCAAACGCCCTTTGGATCCTCAGACCCTCTTATGATCTCACAAGAAGGAGGCTTGCACGGTATGACAGAGACCTTGATGAATCATGTGCATCAGAGGAGAAGCAGATCTTTTCAGGTAATCAAACCAAAGAAGTGCTTCATCTGCTCGTACTGCGGCAAGATCTTCGAGCGAGCCGGACACCTTGAAAGGCATTTGCGAATTCATACCGGCGAGAAGCCGTACGGCTGCCACATCTGTGGGAGGTGCTTCAATCAGAAGAGTAGCCTCAAAGGCCACATGAAGACACACAGAAATGGTAAGGAAGGGGCAAAAGTATCGAACTTCTCTATAACATTATAGATGATTGGGGAAAAAGCAGGTACACGTTTTGGTAGCTGGAATAGTGCATTTTTGTTAAAGCTTAAAAACTCGTACTTTTTTCCTAATGAGACACACAGGTTTCACAACATGTTAAGAAATGTATTTCTGAAGAAATTCATTAGGAAAAACAGCAAATTAACAGTATAATTCATTTAGTTTTGGTCATGATAAATATTATGAGTTTATCAATGCTGAAACCAGGAGTCAACTGTGATACAGCTTCCTGTGGAGCGGTTCGTGGCAGCCCGGCGAAAGCCGTGAATAGTTTTTTTGGTTTGCTGATCATATTTCTATATCCCCATTAAATGTGTATTTTCCACTTTATGGGATCCATATGTGAAAACAACCAGCACTATTGTGTATAAAATTTGTTGGCTAACACTATCTGCTAATTAACGTCTGTTCTTGTTTTTTCTGGAAAGGAGAAAACCCAGATGTGCTGGAGCCCCAGCACATGATGTTTACACTTCCTGATAACCAACTGTTGCAGAACTTGGCAGAATCTAAGAATGGACTACCACCTTTTGAGGAACCCTTACCAGGCCCCACATACGGTGAGACGGCCATGGAGGAAACTGTTATGGTAAAGCTGGAGCCTAATGGAGAGAATTTTCAGGCTGTAGGTCAGGTAGGCACTGATAATGGCACGGCAGCACCAGATCAAAGTCAGCTGTGGACGTCTGGGCTTGAGAAGAGCAGCGATGCCCCTGAACAAACTGTCTGTGTACTTCTACAAGATGTCAAGTATCACCTCAGTCCTGCTGCCGGAGCCGCGAGTGAGCAGCAGGGATATACGTCGCCGATCAAGGATCTGCCTTTTCTAGACAAAGAAAATGAAGAAATGATGCTCAGTGACCAGTATTCTGTCTTAGGCATGCAACCCAGCAGCTCTGATATAACTCTCACACCTGAGCCACACAATCAGCATATCATACACAAGGTGGCTGTGAGTGATTACAACACAGCGAATGACCGGACTCCTGAAGTGAGTGTTTTTGGATTTAACATGAACTCGTCAACTGACCGTGAGGGAAACTGCGGCGAGGAGTCTGCCACGCAAAACTGCTTCATATGCTCGAACTGTGGCCAAAGCTTTGATAGCTTCGATATATTTCAGAGACACCAGTGTGAGAAAATGACAGAGCAGCCTTTCAGTTGTGAGATCTGTGGAAAGAGTTTTAACCAGATGAGCATCCTGAAACTGCATCTTAAACTGCATGTGGACTGAAATATACAAAAATATGTAAGCATAGCACACAAGTACAGTTATTTATATAAACACTTGTAGTAAAACTCTCAAAGGCTGAATCTGAAGAACAAAATCTTGAGGTAGTTTTTTTTTTTTTTTTTTTTTTTTCCCAAGCACAAAAATGACTGATCCATCTGACTTCTGTGATATTTTTAAGTGCTCACAGAAATGTTTTCCTGCTGCTTCGAACCACTTAATCTGTTTTTGAATTGATTGAGGAGTGTAATTGCTCTGCAACACAACTGCTCTTTACTTGCTCTGTATTGTTCTGTGCTGGGCTCTTGAGTGCCTTTCACAATAGTGTATTTAATATGAGGAGAGAAATAAAGTTGAGAGTATGGAAGTGTGATGCATTCACTTGACAAGAACAAAAATACACCTGTTTTTTTTTTTCTGAATTACAATAATTATCTTGGAAATCCAAAGAAAAACTTGAGATCTTAAAATCGTAAAAGAGGAGAGAGTCTTTGAGTCATATAGTTGATAACAGTACAAACTGTTTGCTGTATATTCAAGTGTTTTTCTGGGATCTCTTAAACATCAACATACAAAAATAGCAGCATCTCCCAAAGTTTTAAATGTGAGCAAAAGTAAATCCATCCATCCATCTTCTTCTGCTTATCAGCTGCCGGATCATGGGGGCGGCAGCCTAAGCAGAGAAGCCCAGACCTCCCTCTCCCCAGCTATCTCCTCCAGCTTGTCTGGGGGAACACCAAGGCGTTCCCAGGCCAGCCGAGAGATATATTCTCTCCAGCGTGTCCTGGGTCTGCCCCGGGGCCTCCTCCCGGTGGGACATGCCCTGAACACCTCGCCCAGGAGGCGCCCAGGAGGCATCCTTGTCAGATGCCCGAATCACCTCAACTGGCTCCTTTCCATGTGGAGGAGCAGCGGCTCTACTCTGAGCCCCTCCCAGATGGCTGAAATTCTCACCCAAGAGGACAGCCACCCTTCATAGGAAGCTCATTTCTAACTGTGTAACACTAAGTGGGGAGTCAGGAATTATCATTACTACTCAAGAAATCAAGCTTTCGTGTTCTTTTGAGATCTTACGTGAAATATGTTTCTTTGGTTGGCACAAACGACTCATTTTTAGCATTTATGCACCTGCAACACTTATTTTCATAAAGGTGAATTATATAAGCCTAGAAAACCACCTCTTAATGGGCTAAAATTACCGATTTTAGCATCTAAACAAAATCTGGTACCTGAGTTAACCAGCAGCACAGACATAACAAACAGTGCTGTATGTGCATGGACTGGTCTCACTGATTCAGAAAAACAGGAGCGTTTTTGCACAAATGAATCCATTATGTCTCTGTAGGTGAGAAACATTAGAAGCTGTCAGATGTTCTTGTCTGTAAACGGAGCAGTTACTCAGACTTGTCATTCGTTTATGTGTTACTAACTTTTTTTTTTTTTTAAAGTAACAGGCCAAAAACAAATGTTTGATATTTGCAAGCTACTAACTAAAAGCTTTTTCTGTTATTTAAGTGCAGAACTTCAATTTTTTTTTTAAAATCTAAACTACTCAAAGACATTTATTTTGTGTCAAAAGTACTTTATTTTATTATAGTAGCCAGTACAGTCCTGTAATCAACCATTACCTCAACCCATATGACATATTAATAGAATTTTAAATAGCCCTGCTTCTTATGTGTCCTTTTACATTTGAATTACATTTTTAAAAGATAGAGAAAATAGTTACAAACATAGATTTCATTTCTCATTATCACATATCAATTCGAAAATATTTGATTGTTTTTATTGGTACAAGTGTATGCATTATTTTAACACATTACATTGAAATTTAGCGTTCTGCTTTTTTATTTGCTGTTCCATACTATAGCATATATAACGAAGCAAGTATACTGGACCAGTTTTTCTAAACTTTGGTTGAGACATCATGCCAAAGCTGTTAAAGTAAAATAATTTAATTTTGCATCAGTAAAATAGATTTTAAGATATGGGCTGGTGTGTAGTTCACCCACACAGAGTTTAACTGTTGTAGAAGTTACTGTAAGGTAAGTTTTAAATTTAGTCGAAGACATTCAAATAGTTGCTTTGCAGCATTTTATTTCTGTCCTCTTATGGGCTGCGCACTGAACCTCAAATCACGGTATCTTCTAAAGTTGTATGAAATTTGCGCTTGCACTGTGGTGCCACATTCTGCAAGTTTGGTCTTAAACAAGACAAATTACAGCTGGATAGTCTTTAACTTTCCAGTCGAGCCAAGATTTCAATTATGTGACATTTTCCACTAACCAAAAAAAATTTCCTTGAAGAAATTAAAGGATGAGAGTTAATGATGAAGAATCAAAGAGAAGGTTGTGCATTAAATACCTCATTTACATCTATGGTGACTATCGAGAATTTCAAATGGTCAAAGACTTTGAAGTTTCTCTTTGTTTGTTTGACTACCTATACCTACCCACGATGATATTTATTGTGTGAAATGTATTTTTATTTATGACCTGGGTCAAAGACATAATCCAGAAACTAGTTACTAAAGCAGTGTTGAGTATTTTATATAGACAACAGTGTCCTGAATTGTTAGATGGACTTAAAGAGGTCATTAAAATAGCACCGACCAAGCCAACAGAGAGACTGTCTGAGGCAGGTGTCACAAAACTATTTCTTGTATCATATGAGTGCTTCTGTTTTGTTTTGTTTTTTTCCATGGAAATGAAATTCCTAACCTGCCACTGCAGTGTCGATGCCTCTCAAAAGTGCATCACAAAGTAAACCTCTTATAATTTCCCCCCTTCCTTATATGAAGTGTTTTCTGTTTACTTTAGTACAGAGGTTTATTACACGAGGCTGCTGATCAACAATTGCTGAAACCCAAGGCCGTTGTGGAAAGATTTAAATTCACTTTGTACATGAAGTTGGATTACATATTCAAGGATACGTAATATGTGAATAACAAAATATAATTTTCTTTATTTGTATTTTCTAATAAATGGAAAATTCTGTGTTTGAGTTGTGGATTCTTTTCGTATTGATCAGTCTAAGTAATTGCTAAATGTTAAATCTTTCAAATGCTGATTTCTTCCTTCTCTCCATTCTGTTACATCTCCTACCTTCCTCCTAGTCTTCCAGTTTTTCCATATTCTTGGAAAAAAATGTAAAATTGGGACCCTGTAGGGATCCTTGAAGGAGCCTAACTTACACAAAATGTATAAGTTCTAAAATCACAGATGGGACCTTTGACATTACGTTTTTTTTTCTTTTCTTTTTTTCAATTACTAAGATGCTAACTCACTAGTTTATAATTTTTAGGATCCCTGGATACGTCTGTTACAGTAACTGCATATTCTAAAGTGGGCCAGTGTGTGACTTGGGAAGATGAATGGCTGATGAGCAAAGCCTGTGAGTTAGTTGAGGCAGACATCACATCGCACCAAGTCTATTTAAGTGTAAAGAATCTTTCTCTCTGACATCTCATGCCAGCATCCACCCTTAGTTCTGGAGGACATTTGACTCATCACTATGCAGTTTCTATGTGTAGCATGTTTGTGGGGAGTAATAAGCTTAGTAATAAGTAATAAGAGAGTAATTAAATTCAGTTGTGTATTTGAGATTAAAATGAGAAGATTTAAAACATGGGCGATGTTACCGTGACTACCGTGATCTGTTTGTAAAACCCTGATCTTGAACCCCAATAACGGCATTTTGGTTGTTGCCATGTTGTGTTTCTTAAGATCCTGCCGCGGGCACATTTGGATGAATAGGTGGAGTTTTTAGTTATCACATTAAGGCTTGTGAGATACTGTTATGAAGGGAGTTATTACTTCTAGAGACAATCAACTGTGGCACCAAGACATAAACATTTAAATTTTGCTTGCCACAAATGCCCTGTGACAATGCGCACGTGTTTCTTTTGGTTCTTCGAAGTTGGTGTCTGCTTCATTCTGAGTCGAGGGCAGTGGTAAAGGCACAATTCCACAATGTCTTTAAACTGACAGTGAAAGATGGTCTCAATGAAAGTTGGTATTAATTGTGACGCACCACGAGTGGCTGGATTTAGCTTTCTCAAATCTGTTTTGTGTGTTTCAAACTTTTTTGTAAACAGCACACTGGGCGCTGGCAGCTAAGAACAAGAAACTGAGGCTACAGTTCACACAGGCTCACCAAAACTGTACAATATGAGGGATGAGTCTTGATTTCTGTTGCAACAATCAGATTTTAGGGTCACAATCTGAGGAAAAAATTAGGGTTTGGAGTGCTGCTGGTGGTGTAGCAGTGTGGTCGATCTTTCCTTGGCACAGTTCGGGCACCTTGGTACCAATTGAGCTTTCTTTAAACACCACAGTCTATCTGAGTGTTGTTGCTTGCTCATCCCTTTATGACCACAGTGCACCCATCTACCGATGGCTGCTTCCAGAAGGATAACACACCCGTCAAAAATATGTTAAGGGTTTAGTCTAGAGGTATGATTGGTCTGGTACTCATTTGTATCAAGAGATCTATTTCACAGGTTCTTCTTACACAGAAAAAAGGTCTCCAAACAAATTCATATAAAAGCAAATGAACTAGATTAAGGTATCCACGTATGTTTTCTTGTATTTTCTAAATATTGTACTGATGTCCTGGAGTCCCAAAGAGAAGGTCTGTTGTTCCATTTGCACACATTTCCTGAACTTTCTTTATTCAAACATTTTTTCTATCTTTCTTTAGTTTTTACTACTACTGCAATTAGTATTTGTAAGTACAATCTGACTTGTTTTTTGAGACCATGTGGCATATTTCCCAATAAAATACAACAAGAATCTAAACTAATCTTTGAGCTGGTTATTGACCTTTATCTCATTTCCTAACCCACAATTTCCTTTCTACGTGCAGTTTTAGCTCAAATTTAACACCCATGGGTGATGACTCAGAAGGATGAAGGCCTCGTACCTGTTATTCCACCGCGCCTCTATTCGTGTATTTATGGTAAAGCCCTCCGCCACACGGAAGAAAGGTTTCAGCTAGCATGATGCTCACAGGGATGTAAAAATTTTCTACTGCGTCGCTTCTTTTCACATTTTTTAAACCACTGCTTGGAAGCACTTACTAATTCTTCTAATTTACCTGGCATATATTACTTTGAATGAGTCAACATGGCGACGTGCATTCCCTTTCAAACACAGTTATCCTCAATAATGGAGGTTCTGGTGAAGGCAGCAGTGGCAGAGATATCCAAACTAGTCGATGACAAATGTGCGTTTCTGCATCTTGAAATATCCCGAAAGCAGAGCGAGAACGAGATGCTGAAGAGGAAACTGCTGGTGATGGAGAGCAAAAATGCGCAGCTGCAGCGAGGATTCGGTAAGATTTCCATCACTGTTTGTGCCAACTGACAACTCAGTGTGTTGTGCATCTAAATGTAGAAGTAGAACCAAACGCAGGAAGAATTTGATTTAAAAAGCCATCGCTGGTGTGTTTTATGTTAACCTCTGCTTATTTTTGTAAATGAATTTCGAGGTATTTTACTCCCCCTCCAAATAATATCTACTTTTCCTCTGCTCGAGCTTTCAAATTGAGATTTTTCTTCCCTTCTGCAACCAGAAAACTACATGGACAGAGGAACTGATGTGGGGAGCAACTGTCCGCACCCTGCAAGAGATATGAAGGTCTGTGTTTACTACATGCTCTAATAATTGTTGCCTTTTGGACAACATTTGCTCTTTAAAAAAAAACAAAAAAAAAACTTTTTGTTTTTAGAGAAGTCATACATAAAATGAACATGTTGCTGCAAGTTTCAATGTTTACACAGTTTAAAAACATACCATCTACATGGAAAAAGTAACTACGCTTAATTTAGATGTTTTAAAAGGGAGACCTGGCCTTTAAACAACCATGAAGTGACATCTAAGGGATAATTTTGTAACGGCAAGAATGGTGATTGAAGGATAAAAAATGTTTTGAAGAAAAGTCAACAAACTGTTAATTTTATTCCTTGTTAAATTAAAGTTATTTCAATAATCCTTCAAAATAGCACCTGTAGGTCTTTCATGGTGGTTACGATGGGGTAAGATTTGCATCTCGAGTTATTTTGTTACCCCTCTATGTGTCACACACCTAGACTTAAAATCAGTCCCAGGTTAGGCGTCTGCGATTTGAGCTTCCTTTAACAGTGACAGCTGAAAGCTGTGAGGTTTGTGCTCTGCTGTTCTCTTTGCTGTTGAAGTTTGTGGTTGTCATCAAGACAATATCTGAAACAAATAAAACAAGAAAACGTGTACTGCCTGTGAGCATGGGAATTCAAACATATCCCCAAATGATATGAGATAAAATCCCCCACACGTGGAAGGTCAGTTCAACCCAGGGGCAGATTGACTGATGCAACAAGAAGTCTTGCAAAAAACTTGAGCATTTGTTCATTTATTCTTTAGCTGTTAGTGTCAAAGTGTTAGCATCAGAAAAATAAAGAAACAGTAGAGCTGTATGGCTGGAGTAACAGTAGACATGTTTGGTGCAGACAAAAGACGGCTTTTCATGAGAAAAACTGTTCACCATCTGTGAAGTTTAGTGGTGGAAGTGTTGTGGTTTTGAGCTGTTTCGCTGCCTCTGCAGAAGGTCCCTTATAGTCATTTATTTACTTGTGTGTTCTACTTTATATTAAAAACTGCTTAGATATAACGTGAGGTCATCTGTTGAGTTTGCATTGAGGGGATTCTCAAAAATCTTTCATGTTAGAGTGATCAGAAATTTTCACACCCAGACTGATGAACACTTCCGAAAAGCCTACAAAAAGTTACAGTGTTTGGACGTGGATATAAGATGTGTAGTTTTGTACACCAGCACAGTGGATTTTAGATCAAACAATCGAGATGTGGTGAAAGCGCAGACTTTCAGCCTTTAATTGAAGGGGTTTAACAAAACTGTTGCATTAACCTTTCAGGAATTATGGGCATTTTTATGCACAGTTCCCCATAATCAGAGGCTCAGAAGGACCTCACTGTATTTCTGCTAGGCTTTCACACACCATTTAAAGTAATTGCTGTTGCTGTTTTTGTACTGTAAATGATTGAATTGGTAACTTTATCTTAAAGCGTCATGTTTATTTTGTTTTCCAAAAGAATTAAAAGTTTGCCTTTCTAAACAAAAAAAATCCAGAAACTTTTAGTGGTTGTATATATTTTTTCACAAATTGTAAAAGAAAAATGGGGGGAAAAATGGGCAGCTGACACTGGTGACAAACTAGTTCAAAAAGTGGATCAAAAACCTGTGTGTTAATCTAATAGTGTCAGTTGTATGATAAATGTCACCTCGCTGCGGAAATGTCACCTCTTAATCTTATAGTTTTGGTTTCATTGCTGAGGCTTTGTTTGTGTGACACCACTCCCATAGGTGTTTCTATTTATGGCAGGTAGCTGTGTTATGAAAAGGGTGGATTAATAATTAGTAAGTTGTTTGTAGAGGGGAAAACAAAGCTAAAAGAAGTGAAATATAAAACTAAATTTGGCAGATTCTGGTGTTGCAATCTCTGTATTATTACCATATATCTTAGAAGTTCTCAAGTTGAAAAACAAATCAGGTAATCCATGCCCTTTTTGTGTAGTTTCCTGAGATTGAAGATGCAACTGTTTCCTTCACAATAAAAGAAGAAAGTCCAGATGAGGCTCTATGGATCAGTGATTCTGCTGGACCAATGGGTGAGTTGAAGACCTAGGTTTTGTGCAAGAATCAAACCTTAATTGAACTTTACACCCTTACCTGAAGTCTCCTAACACCTGTCACCTGCAGGTTCTGCTGTTCAGTACCCTAACACTGCTAGTGCTCCAGAGAACCAGCAGTTTGAAGAGGGCCACCAGTTAACCCATCCAGAGGTTGCCAGACAGAAGCCATCAGAGTTCAGTGACTCGTTTAACTCTGCCCAGCGTGCAGTAGACATCAGTAGCCTTCAGTTCACAGTGAAGACAGAGAAGGAAGAAGATCGACTGGCATTCAGACAGGATGGGTGCCAGCATAATGTGGGGAAGCAGACCCAACTTGCTGCTGAATTTTCATTGGATGAAAGGGAGAATCAAATTTGGTCATCCATAATTGAAGGTAATGACATTGACACTGGTTTCCCTGACTTCTCTAGTGTAGTAGAGGAGTATTCCAACACGTACCCTGACCATTCAGATCCAAATGTAGCTTCTAACCTGAGCAAGTCGACTAACGTCCAGCAGTTGCCTTCTCAGAGGCTTTGCAACGGGATTTACAACAGCGAATATCAGAAGGACGTTCCACAGTCGTCAGATTTCCAGCCTAGGTCGCAGGCTCCGTTGTTGCAGCAAGACAAGCAGAAGGAACAAATTTACCCGCAGAGAAACGCGTCACACTCCACTCACCTGAGCCAGCTAGAGGAAGACCCTGAGAGGGAGACCGCAACTCGAGATGGACCAGTTGTAACTCAATCGCACAACACGTTCACACCGAGCAGCTTTAACCCTCACAGCCTACACAAACCCCTCTCTGGGACGGCCCGATGCTACGGGTGCTCGCAGTGCGGAAAGTCGTTCAGCCGCCTCCACCAGTTCAAGCTGCACCAGCAGAGCCACAAGAGAAAGCGAGCGTTTTGGTGCACGGTGTGCGGGAAGAGTTTCCAGTGCTCGTCGCACCTCAGCATACACCACCGGACTCACACGGGAGAGAAGCCGTACGGTTGCGGACAGTGCGGGAAGAGGTTCACGCAGCAGAGCAGCCTGAGGGTTCACCAGCGGACGCACAGCGGGGAACGACCATACAGCTGCTCACAGTGCGGGAAAACCTTCATCCTCATGCATCATTTAAAGCGACACAGAATCATTCACACCTACAGCTGAGGTGGTGCGAGTGATCGAGGTGAAAGACGACGGTCTGAGAATCAAATATTCAGTGAACGGCAGCTTTTTTTTCCAGTGGGATTTTTTTTTTTAACCATATGGCATTACTGAACAACTTTGTATATTAATGCATATTTTACTATGCAAAATCCATCTGGATATCAACATGTTTGCTTCTTTTTAAGTACTTAAAATGATCAAAATGTGAAACTGAACTGCACCCTCGTTCACACGTTTGTGAAACCCTTCCAAAGCTAGAAATCCAAAAAAATGGAAAAGGAAAACCAAACTCTTAAATGGTAAATGGCCTGTATTTGTATAGCGCTTTACTAGTCCCTAAGGATCCCAAAGCGCTTTACACAACCAGTCATCCACCCATCCAATCACACACTGGTGATGGTAAGCTACATTGTAGCCACAGCCACCCTGGGGTGCACTGACAGAGGCGAGGCTGCCGGACACTGGTGCCACCGGGCCCTCTGACCACCACCAGGCAACGGGTGAAGTGTCTTGCCCAAGGACACAACGACCGAGACTGTCCAAGCCGGGGCTCGAATCGGCAACCTTCCGATTACAAGGCGAACTCCCAACTGTTGAGCCACGATCGCCACCAAGCTCTTAAATGGCTGAGTCATCATCTAAAACCACGTGGCTTTGCTCTTACAGTTACCTGCATAAGTGCAGATCTGCTCTGACTTCCTGTTTGTTTTTGCTTCTCATGTCGAACTGGGGTTCGTGTCATCTCAGTACTGAAACCTTACAAGCACAAGATGCTCATTACCCCCATTCACTCTGACAAAGGTTTTTCATTCAAATTCATTCAAACTTTTCTCAGGTTTGTGCTTTAATGTCAGACATTCGAAGCCTGCCTGACTCGTCCTCTCTGTTAGATTTTCCATGAAACTCTTCCCATAAACCCTTTGCTCTTTGTTATGCTTTATATTAAAACTGTTATCAAAACCAACAGATGCATTTTTTTTACTGTTATACTCACATGAAAGACTTAAATTCAGACCTTTAGATGGATGAAGGGATAGAGGGTTTTGTCAGTGTTTCTGGTTTTGGACGTCACACTTTTTCAACGACAAACTTCGAGCTCTTGGGTGCAGCTACTCGCATAGTAAAAATGAATGTCATGTTGTGGTTTGTACTCACAGTTATGTGACTATAACTCACAGGTACACACTTCTGTTTGCTCCACTTCACGTGCCCGGCCGTGGAGCGCTGGCTGCTCTGAAAACTCTGACTGCGAGGTTAATTAGCTATGCGAGACAGCTGTGCCTCTCCTCACACCGCTCCAGCTCTCCTTCATACACCTGAACCAGGAAACAACTCCCTGCTGACACAGAGTTCCTCAAACTACTTGCCTGAGTTCACTATCATTCAAAATTAGGCTGCAAATATTATTTTAATCCATTAACTTTCAAAAGATATATGACTGATTAATGTTATTTAACTCTTGTCACGTTGACCATTAAGTAATTCACCATTTTGTGAGTCATTAACAATAGAAACGGATACAAGCTGAATTTTAGCATTAGTAAAACCTTTGGGGATTTTTCCCTTAAAACAAAAAGGTTAAAACCACAGCTTTAACTTTTTGTCTTGAACAACAATGGTCCAAAAACCAATTACGTGAAAGACACGAAAAAAAACAAGCCTTTGATTTTAAGATTTGATTTTGTAACACAAACAAGATATTTAATAGGAACATTTTATAATTAATTTACTTGGTCAGCAATCAGATGATGCTCAGATTATAGCATCCTACTGTAATCCACCAAATTTCTGTCTCCTTCTCTGCAAACTACAAGACTTCAGCAATAGTCATGGCAACTAATTTTAAACCTTATCTAGATTAAATTTTATTTTACCTAACAAACACCCACCGACATGTGAAAATGACCCTTTTTTTTTTTTTTTTAGCATTTATACACTTATCATTTTATATAAGCAACATAGCATTTTAATTGCACGACAATTAAACGTCTCTATTATTGTGGCCTCTTTAACTTAGGCATAAAGCGCCTTGAGGCGACTGTTGGGATCTGGCGTTACATAAATCAATAACCTGATTTATATCTGCAAAACTCGCCTGCCGACCACCGAACAACAGACTGAAATTGCAGACAGACACTACTGCAGCATGCCATGCACTCATCAGATTTGCAGTCAGTCCATTAGATGAGATGTCAGCAGAGGGCGTTGTAACTCATCCAGGATGACTGTGCAAAAAGGGAACTATGCTGCTGCCTGAACAGGAACAGGGAGTTCACACTTTGATGTTTATTACAGGAACTAACAGCAACCACCTGCCTGTGAACTTCATGTATTTTACAGCCTCTTACATAAACTGCTCTCAGGACAGTCCTGCGACAGGCACATCAGCCTCTAGAGCACTTGTCTCTGTCTCTTTGCGTTATTCCACCTCTTCATGCTTTGTGTTCTTCACTCGTTGTTTTCTCTTGGACTGTCAGGCTCTCAAAGAGGAGAAACCCTGTAACACTGAGACAGTAGATTGAGTCGTACACAGGCTGTAACAGGCCTGAGATCATTTGGATAAAACTGCTTCCTGTAGTTTATAAGATAAGCCTTTTGGATTGTAATGCCAGCTCACTTGGTTTATACTGAAATCTCTAAACAGCAGTGGATTACTGCGAAATTTACTTCTATGGTTTCCAGACAACAGATCCATGAAATAACACATTCATTCTTAGAAAAATAATGCTGGCATACCTGAAATACTATTTTTATTTTATTTTATTTGCTTTCATCGAGTCAATATCCCAATTTTACTACCAAATATGGCCTTACTCTGGGTTTGTTCTATTAATAAATGTTGGAAATATAACATGCTAAAGAATGATTATTATGCTATAATGTTAAATATTAACCTTGGTTAACATGGACATTTCAATATCATCATCATCCACAGATCAACACTGTGACATCAGTCTTCTGTGTAAGGTGACCTTGAGTGTTTTGAAAGGCGCCTAAAATAAAATGTATTATCATTATTGTTATTACTTCTCTATCCCGTTTTCAAGGCTCCAGACTCTTGGCCTTGTTCAAAACCTGTCAGAAGTTTTGGTAAGAGCATGTGCACAGAACTAATATGGAAAATCTTGTTGGTTAAATTTAAAGTTTATCTTTGTGGGCAGGATTAAATACACAGTTTTAATGTAGCTTTTTATTTGGAGGTTGTAAAGTACAACAAAAAACTGCCCGGGTGCAGTGTGCCCCGGTAGATGGCGTGTGAAAAACACTTCCTTTTTCTTCTACATTATCTTTCGAGAACAGCTGTCATATTTGTGAGACTTTTTTGATGTAAGTGGAGGAAGTTTTCAAAGGCTTATTTGTCCAATAATGGGCCATTTTAATACAACCCCTCAGTTTATCCTCTGTGTAAAACATCCTGTTTTAGTTCACTTCACCTACCTTTGAGCCAACTTTCTGTCAGCTGGATGCCTCTCACAAGGGTTAAACAGTAGGTGGGCGGGGCTTCTGTGTTCTTAGTTTTATAGCTGCGATGACAGTAATCGTGTCCCCTCTAAATAATAACACACAGAGCTGAAGCGGAAATGTCTAAACCTTTGTCTCTTAACTAATAACTTGCACACATGCGGACACATTATTTGTGTGTGCGTTTTCGACTATTGTTCAGCTGTTTGTCTTGTGTAAATATCTGATCATGACTGCAACTCAATGCATTTCAACATCTAAGTTAAACTGGTGACAGAGTTTACAGAAAATAGGTCTGAAAAAGAGAACAAATCTAGTGAACTTCACTTCTCTAGGTTAAAATGCTTTGTTGAGGCCAGAGGTCAGAGGAGAATGGCCAGACTGCTTCGAGTACATTCAGAGATCAGAGGTGCGATCTATTCCTATGGCCTTATTAGTAATCCTGTATATATTTCCACTCACATTTCAGCAGAATCTGTCTTCTGTCTTTTACCTCAGCTGCAAGTTGTAGAACGTGTTATCTGTGGCGATTCAAAGCTTATATATAAAGTGTGTTCAAGTCAAATAGTGCAGATCAGTACCTTTAACTTTCTTGTTCGAAGGAGGAACCAGAAGTGAAAATATGTCAACCGCTTTGCGTTCAACATATTTTTATGAACAGCAAGCAAATTACTCACAGTACACTGAGGACTCACAAGGGTTTATGTGCGTACTTTTCCATAAATCTAGCCTTCACACCCACAGGATGATTCTTTGTTTCTGTGTATTTATTCAGCACATTTTGTGCAGACACCTGATCGCCCTCTTTTGGATGCTGGATTACAGACAGCTTGTAAAATTCTCACGACCTTGTTTGGCTATAAACAGCAGTGCCTGAGCGTCATGGAATGTTTTTTCTTTTCATGGGAGGAGGAAGGGAGCAAATGGCAGTGGGTGATATTTGGGTAAGAAAGTGACCAGAGGTGGCATGCAGAGTAGAAAATGCATGGGAAAGTTAGGGGAGGCTGTCAGTGATAAGAAAGGAGGATAAGGACTGCAGATAAAATGAGAAACAAACTGAGTACCTACTAAATTCTTACTCAGGGAAGCTTACACTGAGCTAGCAGGTTGTGCTTTAATTGAAGGTTTTCTTCTAACAGGCTCCTTTATGTGTGGACACAGTTTGGATTTCTTCACCTTTTTTGGTCCAACAGTATTTTTCTTTGTCCTTTAGGTGAAGCCGAATATTAAAAATAACATTAAAAATTTAGGAGTTATTTAAATTAAGCTGATCAGATTGTCTTTGCTTTAGTGGCACGTTTACAAGGTAATAAATAAACCAAAGGGGTACAAAAATACTTGAATGAAAGACACTAACTTCACAAATAAAAAGGTGAGAACAGTCAGGAAATGTTTGCACACGAATAACAAAAAAACATTACTTTAATTTTGAGTCTCTTAATGAAAATGAAGATTGATTTAAATCATTTCAAGATGACTGGAGAGAGACATCCTGTGATTGATCACAGAAACATTCAGCCCCACAGTTTCAAACGCAGCACACAAAAACCACTTTAGTTCTCCAACAGAGTAATTTATTGTAAAAGCTGAGCTATAGTTGTTACAGATCTTAGTAAAGTACCACTAAAAGCACAGGCTGACGCACAGCCGGCCTGTTAGTTTACACAGTGACAGGAAATGGCAAGCCATTTTTAATGTAATCTACTTTCTTTCATAACTGTGCCATGTCTCTTTCTTCAATGTAGTCTATACATTAAAAAAAACAAATACAAAAAACCTACTTAAATACATTTTCTATAAATAGTTTATAATTTACATTTTCTCTACAAAAAAAGGAACATTATTACCACTTTAGTCAAATTGACAGGAACGTATGCTGAATGAGTTGGTCCTCTTAAATAAAAAAAAATGTGAACACCATTTGTTTTTCATATTAGCGAATAGTTGATGTGAGGGAATGTAAGAGAATGAGAAATAAATAGGTTAATAATTTAGGTTTTATAACACGATACTGTTTCCATGAATCCCTTTGCAGCTGGACACAGTACAGTATACTACAGCAGGAAATAGTCAAGAGAACTTTTGTCCTAACACAGTATCTGTGCAGTGTAAATGTAAACAAAGCTTATTATGTGGACCAGTTTCCAAGCTCATAAGACTAAAAAGTTTTGCTAAGAAAGTAGTTCATCATTCTACAAGCATTGTGCTTTAAAAATTGCTTTCAGCTAAGCGTTTTGATAGAAATCCTCTAGCTGTGATGCAGAGATCAAGTGCAGTGACGGTGGCCACCAGGTCATCTATCAGTTATTGATGTTATGCTCCAGCTGAGCCACAATGGTGGACACGAGCTTCTCCATCTGCTCGGCCCTCAGCCTGCCCGTCTCCAGGACCTCTTCGTGGTTGGCCTTCTCATGGCTGTCGTAGTCCATCACTGCGCGGTTGCTGATCAGAGACAAGGCGAAGCAGCGCATCCCGGCGTGGCGGGCGACGATCACCTCGTGTACTGTGCTCATCCCTGCATTAAAAATTGAAAAGGTAAGTTATAACACTGACGTTCTCAATATACTTCCTTAATTAAATGGCGTAAAGCTTATGCTTAAACTAGAAGAACAAATATGAAATTATTTAACTGTCAGATTATATTTAGTATTGTACATATGGATGTAGTTTTGGTATATTAGTGTATTTGGGCAATCTTTTTCTATAGAGGGATGAGACGTTTCATCTGTGTGAGGTATGCTGATATGTTGATTATTATTTTATCCATTAAATGCCTTGTTTGTGTTTTGCAGTCCCTAACAAAAAATTTCCTTTGCCTTACATCTGAAAAAGGCCTATTCTGCATATCATATTATAAAAGAGACTGCTTGATCGATTAAAGCAGCTCCTTTAAGAAGTAAATTAATCTGATAAGACTTTCAACAGGCCTCCTAAAAGCCCAAGCACCGATCCTGAGCTCCCCATGAGTAACAGAGCTCTTCACCTTATCTCTCAGGGTAAACATGGATCTGTGATTTTATTCTTTCAGCCACGACACACAGTTTGCAGAGACAGATGAGAGTAGGAACCTCGATCAACCAGTAAACTGACTGCTTTACTTTTGAACTCTGCTTCACCCTCCATCCTGAACAAGACTATTATCTGAATTCTTCTCCTAAATAAGCAACTAATATCCATCCTAGAGCAAGAAATCCATTTTGGATCAGATCAGATCTCCATTCATTCAAAAAGATATCTGCTTGTAGTTGTGATGATTCGGGATTGGGACAATGTGAGGTGTGTAGAAATATTAAAACAGAAGTCGATGTGTTTTTGTGTGAGAGAGCAACATTTAAAACTCACCGACAGCATCAGCGCCTAGCATGTGCAGCATGCGGCACTCGGCGATGGTTTCGAAGGAGGGGCCTCCGAGGACGCAGTACACACCTTCACGCACAAATTCACTAAAGCCCAGGTCTGCGGCCACGTCGTGCGCCAGCTGCCGGAGCTTGCGATCGTAGGCATCAGACATGCAGGGGAAACGCAAGCCAAACCTGAAGGGAGAACAGGAGTGTTGACGCAAAAGAATCTACACAACAAAAGACAGGAATCTACACAGCTATGACTCAATACTGAAGTTACCCAACAAATAGATACTCAGAGTTTTTTAATGTGATCATGAGAAGATAAAAAGCTCACAAAGGATATTTTTCATCAGCCAAATTGTCTTATCTTTCAGCATCTCTTACAGAGATAAGAATGTGCTATGTTCATTATAACAGACCATCATAAGCTGGTCATAATTTTAAATAAACCACAACATCCCCACTTGGCAGTTGTTAATGTCTCAACCTGGCTCTGTGGCCAGCATTAAATAAGTGTCATGCAAAGCCTCCAGTGTGAAGCCACCCTAAACAACAGGCATACTTGCTGACCCTAAAAATCAAATGCCTATTGTTGTTAAAGGTCTGAAGAGTCACAGTTTTGTGTAGGAGGGCCCAACAATGCACATTTGTCATGGTGGAGGAGGGAACTTAGAACAGCTCAATTGTTTGCACAGTGACGGTGTAGCCCTCGCTTGAAATATTTAACCAAATGATTTGGGGACCACGAGTTGCTTACAAACATAAAATTTGCGATCTTTAGGAGGACAGCAGTCAGTTATGATAAAATAAGTAACAGAATGAGCAAATTCTGTTACTGCAGCGCATCCTTTCTAACATTCATGTAAATGCGTTTGTACCAAGGTTAAACCTGAACAAACTTAAGTCCGAAAGGTGCCTCTCTTGTGGCCCCAGGGCTACTTTTACTGTGAGTAAAATTCAACCATGTGTACGCTGAGAGTGTAGCACCGGGTGGCACCAGGGTGAGGCATTTTCCAAGGTCTTGTTAATGATTTTAGCGGTCGGTCTGTCTAAATGTTTATACTGAGCTAAACAAAGGCTCATTCATAACAGTTTGTTTTTAATTCAGAGGAAATCTTCTCCAACGCTTCTTGTTACACAGGTTCACATTCAGCCTGCTTTATTTATAACAACAGAAGCCCTTAGACTGATAGTGGACTGGTCGACTTTCATAGCTACAGGGAAATGTTAACAATGACTGGAACAGCAAAATTTAATGCTTAATGTACTGAGAAAAAAATTAGCTAGAAAAGCTTCAAACCAAAAAATGCTATCTTCAATATCTGCTTCTACCCCTCCCTCACCTCCACCTACCTGTCATCATTGGGTCCAGACAGCGGGTTGACCCCAGCAAACCCTGGCATGTTGATGTGGTCCTTGATGACCATGATGTCCCCCACTTTGTAGTCCTGGTTGAGGCCTCCGGCTGCGTTGGTCATTATCATCGTCTCTACGCCCATCAGCTTGAAGACGCGCATGGGCAATGTGATCTAGTATAAATAAGTGAATATAAAACACACACACAAAAAAAACGTGTGTTAACGTTATAAGACAAACAAGCAAAACTCATGCAAAGCGAACATTGAATAACACAAGAGACATGAAATGTGTGGAAGAAAACTGCTCTCACTTATCGATTTAGGAAATTCACCTTTATTTATTAACACACTGATGTAACAATAGACACAAAGAAATTTCCTACACTGATAACCTGAATACAGTTGTCTTCTCCCGAGAGCAGTCGACATAACAAGCTTAGATCAACGTTACATTTAAGGAGCCATCCGACTCAGAGAGAACGCTAATTTTCTCATTGTTTAGTCTCCATGTGCTCCACAGCAAAAGTCTGGGAGTGAGTAATCTTCCAGAAGCCTTAGAAACCTGAGATTTACATTTGAGATGCTCAGCAGCTGTTTGTGTCTTCAAAGCTCCGAGCTGGCACTTTTTGTGGGAATAACTTTCTACTAGATAAACTATTCCACTGTAAACACTGGACAGAAAAGCCTGTGGATAACCCTGCATAATCCTGACCAGTGTCTGAGGGGAAAAAAGTTCCTGCTGAGTTTTTAAAATGTTTTTATTAAAAGCTTTTTGGCTTTTATTCATCCACATTTTGTATCTCTATGATTGGAAGTATATTATGAGTAAATCTCTCTAAAATCTTCTCTATTGTTCGATTAGGTAAAACATACATTCGAATAAACATCTGCTGTGTTGTCTGAGGGATACAATCCTTTAATTTAGCATTTTATGATACGGACTACAGGGGTTTAAAGTATTGGGACTTATGTGCTGCTAACACTCACAAACCACAAAGCTAAAATCGGGTGTATAGTATCGATACAGAACATTTACAATGTTCAGCCATCCAGAAATGACTGTGTACTTCCTCTCCCCACCACTGCCTCAGGTTTCCTTTTGTCCTCTGACTGAATACAACTTATTGACCCTGTGAGAATCTATGGAATGTCCTCTAAATGGAAGAACCTGCTCTAGTCCAGAAGACTCTGATAGCAAAAAAACGACAAGCTTTTATTGCCTGTGTTAGCTTTTTGTCTCTACTCACCTTCTGGATGGGGTAGCCCTCGTACAGGTGGAACCTGCCCTGCATGCATACACATGGCTTCCCTTTTAGTGTTCCAAACACGAGCCGGCCAGCATGACCATGCACTGCAACACACACAAACACACACTGTTAGACCCCAGTGCAATTCACAACACAGCCCAATCTTATGGCAAAGTGTGAAGCAGTCATGAGTCAGTACAGCTGAAAAGCTGGATTTGACAATGAAGAAGATGAAGCTCTAAAAGTAGGAAAAGTGGCAACTATTATATTTTAACCCAAAACATGATCTTTTTCTACACCTAAGACAGTATTTGTACTTCCTAATTCTAACTGAACAGTTTATATGGATTAACTCACCCTTTTTAAGAGCAGTGTAATGACAATTCATGTCCAAGAATAAAAAAATCAGCAGATTAAATCTTAAGACTGTTTCATAAAGTGCCGTGGGACTGTGTCGAATCAAGGTCACAAGCATGCACGCGCATGTGCGCACACACACACACACACACA